TGTCCTAGGGGGTCCGGAGGCATGCCCCCGCGAAATTTTTGTGTTCTAGACGCCCGAAAATAACATTTGAGGCGTTGTGGGCTATCATTTTTTTCTTTTTCTTTCTTTTTTCCTTTTTTTCCTTTTTTTTACCTTCCAAAAGTGGGGGGGGGCGGGGTCCCCCAAATCCGCCCCTGACAATAAAGCATGTTTTAGTGAAGGCCTATACGTGGTTTAACTAAATTCCAGGTACATCTGTTTGGTGTGTCTTAAAGTAATTTTGCCGTTTTCCATGCATTATCGTTACTAGAAAATACCTGTGATAGGTAAACCTGTATAGGACATTTCTCCGTGGTTAAGGTAAATGTTTGCACATAGATACACCATCGGGACGCGACAGTGTAACACCATGGTTACATCATTTATAGACATGTCTGTACAAAAGTCAGTAGGGCTTCAGTGTTTGATTTATATACGGTACAAAATTATTTTTATCTTAGATAATGCCCTCTTTATACACAGCAATATTCATAAAACCTACGATAGTGTTATCGGATGCATTCGTTTACAGTCTAGTGCTCTTGATTTTGGTATACAGAGTTAATCTTGTGATAGCGATTACTCGAGTAGGACGCTGTATGGAAAAACCGATGATTGACAAATGGGGTGAGAATCGAACGAGATGATAGATCGATTGGGATGAGTGGGTCTACTACTACCCGGATCTCACACCCAATCAATGGCTACTAGGTTACTTTGACACACATGTTCAGTAGCGCTAAAAGGGGTACAGTTTCACCAATTGCAAGTGGATCAGGCTATAGATTTTTTTTTTTAATTTAAGAATAAACGACAAATACCTAAATAAAAAAAAACAATAGGGCCTATATTCTGGGATGGCAATTCGGTCCGTACCCCATGCGCGTACAAAGATGTTTATTCATTTATTCACTATTTACAGTATACGACGTTTAGGAAGACGTGAAAGAGCATTAAATATAGGCCTACTCCAAGCCCATTTGGTAATACAACTTCAGAGCTTCAAAAACTAAAACAATGCTTTTAGTAGTAGTATACGTTTCTATATTTCTGTAGGGTCTTGCTACTGTGTATGTAAAACCTATGCTTGCTTGTTGATGTTTATGATTTACCTGACTGTAATTGGTAACTTCGGTTTGACACGACAATATGGTGAATTTTTAGGCATTGTTCTTAAAAATTCGAACCAGTTTACTTGGTTTTAATTTTATTATTAGATCTTCTTTGAGCATATGTAGGCCTATATGGATGCTAAATAAACGAAATTCAGACTGTAATTGGTGACTTTGTTTTGACACGAAACTACGGTGAATTTTTAGGTCTTGTATATGAAAAATACGAAACTATTTACTTGGTTTTAATGTTATTATTGGATATTCTTTGAGCCTAAGTTGGATTATATATGGATATTAAATAAAAGAAATTTAGACTGTAATTTATGACTTTGTTTTGACACGAACGAATGGTGGATTTTTAGGTCTTGTAGGCCCTATAATGAAAAATACGAAACAGTTTACTTGGTTTTAATGTTATTATTGGATATTCTTTGAGCCTAAGTTGGAATATATGGATATTAAATAAAAGAAATTCAGACTGTAATTGGTGACTTTGTTTTGACACGAACGTATGGTGGATTTTTAGGTCTTGTAGGCCCTATAATGAAAAATACGAAACAGTTTACTTGGTTTTAATGTTATTATTGGATATTCTTTGAGCCTAAGTTGGAATATATGGATATTAAATAAAAGAAATTTAGACTGTAATTTATGACTTTGTTTTGACACGAACGAATGGTGGATTTTTAGGTCTTGTAGGCCCTATAATGAAAAATACGAAACCGTTTACTTGGTTTTAATGATATTATTAGATATTCTTCGAGCCTATGTAGGCCTATATGGATATTAAATAAACGAAATTCAGACTGTAATTGGTGACATTTTTTTGTGATACGATACGGTGAATTTTTCGGCCTTGTATATCAAAAATACTAAACAATTCACTTGGTTTTAATGTTATTATTGCATATTCATTAAGTCTAAGTAGGCATATATGGATATTTAATAAACGAAATTCATGACGAAATTAAATTACACTTATAGCAATAAAGCGTTGTTTGTCCACTCGAGTTTTCAAACAAAATCTTTGTCACCGAAAACTTCACAAAGTTTACAGGGGTAAAGACACGCCCCCTTATCACATACGATTAAGTGGTCAAAGTTAACAGTTCCCATAATGCACTGATTTCACAGACAGACCTCCCCTTAGTCAACAAAAGCTAAAGACATACCTCTTAAAAGCATGGTAAGAGTAAATACTTGGTATATAACAATTACTGGAATGATTTAGTTGTTATTGTATATATGCAAATGTAATTTAACTAACTCAGAGATATCTTAATTTCATGTTAATTTCCAGCAAACTCAAACACTTACATTTCATAATTAAGGGTGTTGAATTGCCATATGAGTAGAGCATAACATTAATAATTAGCGTTTGCAATATATTGTCTGTTTGGTCTGTTCTTCTGAAAAAGACTTGATATTTTAATTTGTATATTATTATAATGTTGAAATTATAAATATTACCACAAAAAGTAATTTGTACTGCAAATCACGCTTGGGAACGGTTGTTTTGCAACCTGTAAATGTTGATCTTCGCTTGTTTCTTAGGGTTAGACACTTTGCTTTTAATTATCACGTCTTTCGGATGGGACGTTGATCCGTTGATTTCACATGCATAATAGTTCGAGTCTGCATATTACCGTGCATTCATACTGTATTTTTTAAAGCATTATGCTTGAAATCTGTCTGCAATTCATGTTTGAGGCGGTACATAGATTGTTGCGACAACAAGTTCCTAAGAAACAAGCCAGTAATTTCTATTGTTTGGGCTTTTTTGTGACGACTCAATTGCTTAAGCTTGCTCATTGTCTCTACGCCAAGTACTCTTCTGACTTCTCCGCCTGGGCTGCTCAAGTAAGGTTTCGGATGAGGTCTTTCCAGCATGACTTATCTTTTGCAAGAGTTTTGATGGTGTAGAGATCGTTAAGTGATTGTAATTTTTTAGATCGTGTTTGTTATTGATGAGTGATATGAGGTCTGATTTAAGGGTTATAGGTAAAGTCGTTCTCGTCTGCCTCCGCCTCAATTAAATAATTAAAAAAAACCGTCATGTATATCATGATGAAAGCAAAGGTCAGCGATTGATGAAAGAAAAGGTCAGCGATCGACTGTGATTATGAGATTATGAGCTTTATCACATTAAGCAATTCATTTCAGTTATTGTCGACAGTGGCGAATCCAGGAATTCAAAATAGAGTTGGCCCAGGGAGGGATTTTCACATATAGAGGGTCCACCCACCACAGCCCAAACTGTGTTGGGGTTGAGGAAAGGAATTGTTTGATTATGGCAATTCTAGATAGCGGGAAATGGCATTCTAAGACTTAAATTTTATTATGATTATATGTTTTTTTCTATTTTTAAAAATAATTTAAAAAAATCCTAAAGCTGTAATACATTGATTTTCCCAATACGTTTCCACAATTTCAAAGTCACATTCTTCGTCGTTGCACACATACCGTGTTGAAATACAATGATTTAATAACAGAAAACTGTCCAATACTCTCAATACAGATTTTATACATTTTATTTTCGATTTTCTGTTTGTTACCCACGTCAACTTTGTTACAAATTTATGTTCTTTTCAACCGTTTGATAGGCAACATGCTTCATTGAAATTCGGATATTTCAGTTGTTTTCTGTCCATGGTAGCTAGTTTTTTTTTATCAGCGGTTAAGGTGCAGAATAGATTTTGGAAGACCATATGATCAGCTAGAGGGGTGTATCCCCATACTGAGGCTTGGTGTTTTATTTAGATAACGTGTGTTTGTTGTCTAGGCTTCAGCTCTTTCAACAGGCCTAGGCCTATATAGTAATTATACACTGCACATGCGCTAAAAAATAGTTACAATTCGGTGCACCATGTTAGGGCACGTTGGTTACCGTATTTATCATTTATATAATGTTTGAGTGCATGTTTAGGCATAGGTCTACACTACCTACTTTACATTTATGCAAGAAGCAATAATTACTGAGATCAGAATTAAATTCTGGTTTTCTGATAGCCTAACCTTTAGGCTATACGATAACTAGGATTTAATATATAATCTATTTAAAAAATATCGAAACGGTAACATTTAGTATAAAATATGTCATTTTAAGCTGTTGTGTTAATAAGACTAACATACATATTCTTATCTCAGTTAGCTCGATGATACAATCATTTAGTTCATAACACATCGTATGCTAATTTTCTAAATAGAAATAATTTAAGACTTGTTGAAATATCTCTTGGCACTGATGCCACCAAAGTCGAAGGTGACTACCATCTGACCACCGACTATCTCGCGTGTCACTGAGTTGCCACCTGCTCCTTTCAATACCAATTTGTCTCCCTCCCATGCTGCTGTTACTTCAATGTCTTTGCCTCTCAATTCTTTGACGTCTTGATCCACGAAAGGAATACCGATAGAGAATTTGGCCTCGCGTGTTCCAGCGGCTGTGGTTGTCTTGATGACGAAACTGTCACCGGACTGGGTGATGACTACTGTAGAACCTTCGTCAGATGGTCTTTTTTCTGCTGGAACTTTGAGAGCATCCAGAAGTGGTGCGAGACCTTCGCTCTTGGCGAGGCTCCATGTTCCACTGAAGTTAGCAGGCATAATGTAGCGGTAAAAAGTCGACTAGAATTACAAATTTAGAAATAATATTATCTTTAAAAATGTTGCGCATATTCAGTGAAGAACAAAGCTATCAACTATTAGAGTAAAAGAAACAAAGTTTAATACATTGTTGACATTTATAATTAAACTACATTATATTGCAGTTATGATTCCATGAGAGTCTCAGATAAAGTAAGAAGGAGCATTCATCACACCGATTTTAACAAGAAAGTTGGACTGCGCTCAGGGCCGGATTAAAGGGCTGTGGGGCCTTGGGCTGTAATTGCAAGTGGGCCTAAATACTCTGTGGCTAAAACACAAAACCAGATTTTCGGTGATATTTCCTGGGTTTCGTGGGCTTATTTTTGCCATTCGGGCCCGTGGGCCTGGGGCTGGCGCCCCAAAAGCTCCTGTGTTAATCTGGCCCTGGCTCCGTTGCAGGAGATTTAGCATAGGGCCTACTCAGTCCACCTGCAAAATAATTCACCTTTATTCTGCAGAGGATACGATAACAATGTTACCAAATATTACATAAAATAACTCCTTAAGTCAACAAAAGCCTCTATTTTTGTACACTGACTTTTTCTTTAAAAGTTATATGGATACAACAACTGACGAAAAAGACTAGTTAGAAGCCATGACTCAGCAAAATCATGGGGTCACCAGACCAGACCAAATGAGGATTGAGACCATTGGAGAAATAATAGCGATTACTTCATCACAAGAAGAAGGGAGAATTATCAACAGATCTACAACACATAAACATTTGTCAACACAAATGAATAACATTATTAGGCCTATATGTTTTAGGCGAGTACTGAAAATCTCATATGTTGCCTTATAGCTGCAAGTCAAACGGAATTTTACACAACCACAATATTACGTACTACTACCAGAAATTTAAAACTATACAAAAAGTATATACATAGTATATGGCAACTTACCTGTGTAGACAAACAAGGGGGATGGTGTGGAGATGTTGGTAGTTGGTATCTAACTACATTCATGAGTGCTTATATACTTTACAAGACCTTTCATGTTGCCGACAGGTGCGGGCACATCCAGACAGTCATAAAACTTTACCGATTAACGTTCAACAAATTCAAATTTACGATGACATTAATTGAAAAACAAACTGTATTTTAGTCTGACTCGTGTTATTTGTGGTTATTTAAAAAGGACTGTTGTATCGAATCATAAAAACGTTAATGTTTACTGAATAATATTCAATAATAATTATAATAATATTATTATATTTATACAGCTCTTAATACTCCGCCGCCTAATAGTACAGCAAACAATCATAAAGTTCATTAACTGATAACTTATTTGAGTTTTTACCTCTTTGGATTTGTCCGTACCGTATAGGCTACGTTTATTAGTTTACTTTGGTATCTTTTATGATGCCGGGAATTTGGAATTGTGTGTTTAGACTGCACTGAGCCTGTCTTAAAAAGGTACCACGCCCTCAAGAACATTCAAGATCAACGTTTTGTCTTTCATCTGTGGACAAAGGTTAATTCCCTGGTTTCACTTCATAGGATTGTGGAATGAAAAGTTTCCCAAAAAATGTGACACTGTCTTGTCATTATTCATTATTTTATATTTAGAAGAAAAACAGTTATAAGCTTGCATAGACACAAGCTGACTTTTATAAAAAAAAAAAATTCATGACCGCCAATTTAAGGAAGCAGGCCTATGCAAAAAATATGCATGAATTATCAGACTTCACTTGACTATATTTGGCAGAAAAAGTAACAAATAACAATTCTGTTTGAAACAAGTTACAAACAAACAAAATGCATTGACAAAAAAAAAACATTAAAAAAATCTATTGGAAACATAGGCCTACATAAATACTAAGAAATTGAAATATCGAATATTATTTTTTTAGTTTATTTTCCAACACAAAATACCTTCAGTCTAAAGTTTCATTAACTAATGGAGATCAAGTATCAAATCCTAGATAACAAAAAAATCCCAGGTTTTTATGCTGATATTTGATATCTTAAGTAAACAATAATATTAAATATTACCATTTTTGTTGAATACTCAAACTTTACACTCGATAATGAGAGATGCTAATAGGTATATTAGTCTGTAATTATGATAATGTGAGTAACAAATCGGCACATGAAAGAATGTCAACTGCATAAAAGCGTGGATGTAGCTTCGACGTTTCATTCACCTACTGTGACGCTACCACTAACCAACTTCCAGTTACCGTCTTTTAAACTTAGTATTTGGTAAGTTGTTCTTACTTTTGAAAATTTTGTTAGAGTTGTTGATTTGGATGCTTCGTTAGGTATTGTCTAAAATATCTCAATTTGTTTTAATACTTCATTGATGCTTTTATCGATTATTTTTAATTTCATCCTTCTATTTTATCATTTTTATCGTTTAATTTCTTTACTTTTCTAATAACTTTTATAATTTTATCTATAATTTTTAAAAAGCGTATTGTAAATTTTATGGATTGTATCATTATTTGTATGAATATTATCATATATTTCATCATTGTCTTACCTTTAGTCCTTTATTGAAATTTCTGCCTCTGCTGTTGAGCATGTTAGCAAGATCGGTAGTCCAGGAAATACCACCCCAAATTTTTAAATGGTCATTAGTTTGCTTGCTTCTTAAATTCTTCCTTATATTATTAATGTTAGGTATATAATTAGATTGTATTGTCTTGTGTACTTGTAAATTTGTGTGCTTTTCTGAAGGTTAAACAAATTTACTACATCCAAGTATTCATTTTACAAGCTTCTTAGAGTTTTATGAAGGAGCTTTTATCTACTTTTCAACATTTTCAAAGTTTTATTTTTAAATTGGAATTGATTTGATGATTTATTTGATAAATAAAGAATTAAATTGATTGCCACTAACACGAAATGATATCCAATAAATATCTAAATATCTATTCAACTAGATTTTGTAAAATTAAAAATATTAAACCGAATGGCCGAGCGGTTAGCAGGGGCGCCTCAAGATATAGCCATAATATCGTCACTGGTTCGAACGGCACGCTCGCCTATGGTTCTGGTGGTAGAACAAGTCTTCTCGGATAAGGACTATAAACCGTAGGCCCAGTGTATACAATGGCTCGTGTGCACTATAAAGAACCCAGTATATCCTTCGAGACGAGTAGGGGATACCCCGGTGTACTGGAACAGACAGCCCCTGTGGTGGACGACGAGAGTTGCTGGTACCGGGTAACTGGGTAGCACAGACACGAAGGGACCCTAGGGGCGAAGAAAGTCATTGATCGAGATCCTAATCCACATATCAAGCACCCTGAGCATCTTACACTAGATGGATATGTGCGCTATATAAAACTACACTATTATTATTATTATTATTACTATTATTATTGCACATCTAGAACAGCTTATTTACTTGTCTGTGTCCGCCATGTTTCTTTCCTAATTTCACGCCCATTTTAAGGCTTCATTTAAATTTCAGTGCCATGCATGTTTTTTTTTTCAGATATTTAGTCTCAACCTCTTCACACTATGCCTGTTGACTTCAGTGGAACATGGAGCCTCGCCAAGAGCGACGGTCTCGCACCACTTCTCGATGCTCTCAAAGTTCCAGCAGAAAAGAGACCATCCGACGAGAGTGCTACCGTAGTCATCACCCAGTCCGGTGACAGTTTCGTCATCAAGACAACCACAGCCGCTGGAACACGCGAGGCCAAATTCTCTATCGGTACTCCTTTCGTGGATCAAGACATCAAAGAATTGAGAGGCAAAGACATTGAAGTCACAGGAGCATGGGACGGAGACAAATTGGTACTGAAAGGAGCAGGTGGCAACTCAGTGACACGTGAGATAGTCGGTGGCCAGATGGTAGTCACCTTCGACTTTGGTGGAATCAGTGCCAAGAGGTACTTTACCAAGTCCTAAAGGCAGTTCTAGTAATGGTTGTACGTAATCGGAAGACCAAAGAAACCAGGAAAAGCAAATTATTGATACGTTACGCCTACTCGGGTATTTCGAATGTCATGATGAGATCAGAACTTTGCTAAACTCCGGTTAATGTGAACATAATGACGTATGGTCTAATGAATGTGATATACAATGGGTTGATAAATGATTGTACGAATTCTATGTAAATTTTGAATCAGTTGATATCTTCCATGTGAAGAGATAACAATAATTATGTTAAAACAACACAATGCTGTAAATTTGGTATTAATGTATTGTTTGAAATAAATTTCATAGACCTATCGATTCGCATTTCATTGTTAATTATGCCGTAACATTACCTTTATGTCTGATAAGTGAATCTAACAATATATCGCCTAATATTTAGTTAATCTCTATGTCTATTTGGTATACAGTATTTTGCAAAGTTGGCAGTTATAATGGTGATGATGACAACAAAACTACAGCTACAACAACTATGATGACAATGATGATGATGATGATGATGATGATGATGATGATGATGATGGTGATGATGATTGTGAGGATAATGGTGGTGATGACGATAATGATGGTGTTGGTGATAAAGGCGACTATGATGATAATCGATGAGGATGATGTTAATGTGAATGGCGATTATTCCTGACGAGTAAACCTGGATGGTCAGTAATCGATGGAAGACAGACAGATGACAACAGCAAATAAAACGATGATTATGGTAAAGATAATAAAGGAAGATTATGATGATGATGACAATGATGATGTTGATGATGATGATGATGGTGATGCTGATGATGGTGATGCTGATAGTGAGGAAGATGAATGGTTACCGCTGATGAGTACTTAACCAACAAGAACCGAAATCCAACGTGGAAAAATTACTGTGGTTTGTACAAGTGCACGCATACCAGTAGTACGTTAAATGACATTTGCTATACATTGCATCCAACTGGATAACTACACAACTCAACTTAGCTGTAGGCCTAATGATTTTCTCCATTAAACAAATAATAATTCCGTTAATGTCAATATGTTTAAAAAAAATTAATACAAAATATATGTAATATTACTTTATAAAATAATGTAATAATTTTTGTCAACATAATACGGACCAGTAAACTTAAAAATGTATCAGCTAATGCCACGGCTAATAATAGTTATTTGATCAATAATAATATTAATACTTAATAATGATAATATATCCGCCTATAGACGCTCATGGCGCTTTTTATCTCCCTTATGCGCGTGGTTACATAAATAAGTACATGTTTCTACCCAGTTCCATAAAACGTAAGTGCCTATAATAAGCAATCGGTCATTATGGTATAAACGATCTATCATTACTACTAATGACCAAGTAATGAATCAACGGACAAGAGTTTATTATCGTACGTCTCCACGTTGGCCAATAACAGATATCAGTTAATTTTGCTGATAAATATTATTACACTTTATTTTACCATCGTTTTATTAGTTATGGGCTCAAATAACTACAATCCAGCTGATAATCGTGAAATTAAGATAAAATAAACAAGGAAATTAATTGTCATTCCATGATGGGAAAGTTATTTCCATCGCCAACTAGAATCATTTTAACTGGACAGTGACCAGTATCAATCTAAACGACTGACCAATCAGATGAGTGAATGGAATGACGGTTAGGTAACTTGCCGAGAGAAAGTATTAAAACACAAGGGTTACGAAGCAGTTCGGCACTGTAGTTATAAGAAGCACCAGCATCGACAATCTATCTTATACACCTCGCCTCGATCCGAATCAAGGTAAGTGTTTGTACGCCTACATTTCGTGTAGCCAGAGTTCAGAAAGTGAGAGCTATTAATTATAACGTTAAGCAATATTCGTGCGCGTATTGGGCTTGGTAAGGTATTAAAGCCTATCTTATTTTCAGGGCCCGACTTGACGAAAGATGTTATTTTTATTAAGCATCGGTTCCTTCTTGCCAAGCCCCGCCTGTGTTACCTGCATATTGTGATTGCCGTTTCACTTCGCCTCTTATTTAACTGTAAACCAGTGGCTAAAAATTGAGAAATAAAAAAGAAAATTATATTATATTTATTTCTGCGAGTACCATTTCCGGCCAGAATCATACATTTTCTTACCTCAGCCCCACCCATGGTATGACTGAGGTGGTATAAACCTTCCATCTGTGAAAGTGCCTCCATGACCCCCCCCCCCCCTCTACAGGTATTTCAAATTCCTGGATTCGCCACTGATAAACCGAAAGGTCCACTGATTAATCTCAGATAAGATAGTATAACACATACTCCAAGCACCGAAATGCACGCCATCGTGTCGAAATTCAATATTTTGACACTAAATATGTCATCATCAGAAATCAGTTATGAATTTAACTGATAAACCGTTATGAATTTAAAGAAATTCATTTTATTTGTATAGATTTTGAAATGAAAATGATTACATATAGCACAATAACTTTGGAGATAGTTAACGATTAGTTAAGCTTAACAAAAAGTGTTGATTTTATGCTGTAACACGGCAGGAAGAGCCTGAGGTTTTTTTTGTATGTAGCTATTCTATGTAGAAAAAAAATAGTCAAAAAATTGTTTATGTCGATTGAACTTAATACGAGCATGCGCAGTAAAAACTACGAATTGACTTATAATACAATCGATTGGCCATTTAAATTAGTTGGTTGGTTGTTATTTTTAAACTTTTCCGTTGTAATAAATAATGGTAGTGAATTTTCTTTTTAATTGTTTCTTACTGCATTACACATTTTGGAGCTTACAGTTCAGATTGTATTCGAATCATTCATCATATTACTATTTTTTTAACCTCCAGGACAATGACTTCTTTTTCTGGCAAATGGGCTTTGGTTAGCTCTGACGGCATGTCCAATCTTCTTGACGCTCTGAAGGTTCCAGCAGAAAAGCGGCCGCAAGACGAGAACGCCACAGTAGAGATCGACCAGAGCGGCGACAGCTTCAAGGTAAAAACCACCACTTCAGCCGGTGCCAGAGATGTCAGCTTCACCGTCGGAACTTCCTTTGTCGATCCTGACATCAAGGCTTTGCGAGGAAAGGATATCAGTGTGATGCCTAGCTGGCAAGGAAGCAAATTGGTGCTGACTGGAGAGCAGGGAAACACATTTACCCGCGAGCTGGTTGGCGGACAGATGGTTGTCACACTCAACTTTGGTGGAGTCGTAGCTAAACGAACCTTCAACAAGGTGTAATTTAATTAGTTATATTCCAACTGAAAAGTCTGGCGGCTTATTGTGCACCTGTACTAGGCCTATATGAACATTTTTTATTTGTACGTTAGCCTAGAACACATAAATCTACAATAAAGGAACACTGAAAAGGGCAAGATGACAATAGAAAAGTCGTCTAATAATTATTATATTAAAGTATGGCTGGAACAACGAGTAATTAAAAAAAATAATAATTAGGCCTAGACCAACGTCTGCTAATTCAGAAACACTGCAGTCACTGAATGGTTGTTTCCTGCATAAATGCTCAAATGAAATATACATAATTAATATACCGTACCTTGGTATATGTAACTTTATCAAGACAATAAAGGTTTATGATAAAACATGATCAAACTTGTACCTATGTTTGATATTGTTGTCGGTGTATTTTAAAACATTACCTTACTTTAACAAAATCACAAATCTTTAGGTACACCATGTGTAAACATATGTTTTTGGTGTAAAAACACTGGTTGGTTGGTTGTCTCGGTGTTTCGGTGAGATTGCCTTGACCATCATCAGTAGTCATTACCGTACTGATTACCGTCACTGATATTGGAACATAATCTCAACTGGGATATCATTGATGTGGGCCTCAGGCCCATTTAAATGTTCTTTTAGTCCTACTGTGAAGACTCACTGAAAACACGTGACGTGACTGATAACGAAACATATTTTAAAATACATTCTTCAGGACGCCCATAACCTGTTAACACTTACTCAATAATCAATCAATCAATTATCAAATCAATCAATCTAATAATTTTATTAAATTCAGAGAAGAGCAAGCTGATGATAATAATAATCAATTTATCCATCCATCCAGTGGCGTATCTAGGGGGTGCGAGGGTGGGGGTGCGTCCGCCCCTCCAATATACTCGCTTCCCCAGTCACCCACTCAAAAAAAAATCAAGGTCAAGTAGTTAAAAATCACCTTATTTCGTGAATTAGCGCACCCACATCTATGGCGTATAAAATTAGATAATGTTTGGAATAAACGCCCCGAGGCGTTTATTTTTTCCTTGAATTTGAGTATATACGTATCCATTTTATACAAAAAAAATAATAAACGCCTCCCTCGAATAAACGTCTCCTCGAAACCCTTCTCAACAATAACGCCCCGGGGCGTTTATTCCATTAATGAGCACTGCTCTTACGAACTGATGAGAACAGAATGGCTATGTTTTTTATGAATTATAAATAGCGCCACCATCAAACCAAAACCAAAACAAAGAGATCTGGAGACGGAGTGATGCTGACAATTTCTAAAATAGCAAAAATTGTATGAAACTGTATCTGTAGATGTTAAATTTGAAATGGATTTATCATTTAAAAGAAACAATGAAGTAGAAGAGAAGGAGGAGGTATGCAAGAATATTGTTATACTGCATGTTTTACTGTGGTAATCCTAGGCCCAGAAATTCACCGGCAAATCTATACCTGTTATTAGGTCGGGCAGCGGCCGCAGAAGCTGTCGTTGTACGCTTGGGGATAGCAAACGTTGTGTAGTGTAGTATAGCAATAGCATAGGCCTAGCTTAGACCTTTCTCTATGCGTAGAGTACAGTACATAATGAGTTGGTACTAATACTGGAGAAGACATTCGGCCCGGGCTGCTTTCTCTAGGGAACAGTGAATTACACTGTTCCCTGCTTACTCGTGGTAAATGATGGCACTTCCTCTTATAACCATAACTAATTAGGTACTAGCACCTATAAAGTAAGCGCCAGTGCAGTCATTTGATGCACAGTAAGTAAGGTCATGATGTTTTTTGGTTTTTTTTGTGGACGCTCCCTGCCTGGTGGAGGAGTGCAATACTTCCTCACAAGGTCTGGCAGGGTGTCTTCAGAGCAGGGGCGCTGTGGTGGTGCCATCTGGGTATAGGTGAATTCCCCGTCGGGTAAGCATGATGGAAATTAACTTTGTCAAACTGAAAATATTAATTTGCCAGTATTGCAGTCTAATTTAAATTAAAAAATTAAACCCAAATGAGGACTGAGTCCCTAGGCCACCCTTTAGTTCTTGTTAGACTTTTGGACCCTTGTCGATAGACTTCCTGTCAGAGCAACCACTGGTTTAGGGTGGCCTGCCAACCCAACACCACTGAATCATCAACTCTCTTCAAAACTTGTGATGAACTCATTTAAACGGCCCCTACCTTTTGTTAGGACTTTAAAATACTGTAACTATAGGCCTAGTGATTAAACAGTGATGCTATCTTCTGTAACTAGCTAACCTACTGAATAGATAGGTGTACTCTAGAGTAAAAAGGATGTTTACAATCTGAAAATTCAATTAAAATAATTATTTTTTCATTGTGATTTTTTTTTTTTTGCCACTCAGACAACTCGGATCAACACCGAATTCACTTCAGTTGAACACTTAGATGTCGACATAGGAAACGTAAATGAAAAAGCAGAAAAGGCAGAAACTGAGATATGTGAGAACCAAGTGAAAATTCCACTTGAAAATGAATCAAGAGAACCTTCCCAAGAATTACCAGAAGACTTGAGTACAGGTGGTGATAAATCTAAGGAAGGAGAAATTAAGGAAAAATTGTGCTCAGATTTGGACTATTGTGAAATGGCAGATTCAAGGGGGAAAGTTGAGATTGAAAAAGAAGAACAAGTAGAACTGGAAGATTTGGATTATAGTGAAATGACAGATTCAAGGGGGAAAGTTGAGATTGAAAAAGAAGAACAAGTAGAACTGGAAAGGAAATTCGAAAATGTGGTAGATGATGCATCTGAGAGTTTGAAAGCAGATGATGAAAACAGTATTCAAGAAAAGAAGGAAGAGGAAAATGAAAAGGAGGAAAAAGATAATGAGAAAGAATGTGTTCAGAAAAATGTGCAGGAAGAAGATAGTGTTGAGGAAGTGAAAAATTTAACGAAAGAAATGATAACAAATGGTGACAAAGAAAGGGAAAATGAAACAACTGAAGAGAAGATTGAACAAATGGAAGAAGAATTTGAAGAGGTTGAAGAGGAAGAAGAAAGGTATTACACCATTTAGAACCAGTAAAAATGAATTAATAATAAATAATAATAAGTAATAATTAATGTAATTAATAATTGCTTAGATTTATTATGACTGTTGTGTTTTATATCATTGTTTTCAGCATTTCTATGCCTCCTGAGAATTTGTTTGAGTATCAGTGGCCACCTGATAGAATGGGAGAATGGTACTTTGTACAGGAACAGATTTCTGAATATCTTGGTGTGACATCTTTCAAAAGGAAATATCCAGGTGCTGCTCTTATAGTCTTTCCACCATTCTTTAAATCAACTGATATTTTACAAATTTGTATATATTTATTATATTATTGAAAACAAATGAATATTATTTGAATATTATTTGTTTTATTGTTTTTAATTTTAAAAAGAAGCATGTCCTAATGGCCTGATCTTGGAGGGTAGAGCCACTAACCAGTAATCTGGCGGTCTTGGGTTCCGACATTGATGCTGACAATATAATTTTTTTTCAAACCATCATAACCACCATATAACATCATTTTTATGTTTAAATGCTAAACTTGCTAAAATTGAATACTGAATAGTTTGTATGTATATAGTATATGAATTTTTTTTAAAGTACAATATATAAAATTATTTTTAATATTGCAGTTATGCACAACACATTAATTATAAATTATGAAATTAAGGAATTTATGATTTTACTTTTTAATCTTATATCTGTCAGATCTTGAACGACGTGTGATGGACATGAAGGAAAAGGATTTCTTACGAGAGCGTGGAGTGGTAACTGAGGAACAGGTCACTTTGGGTATGGGAATAAACAGGGACAGATGGTTTTAATACTTTATGTGAAGAATACAGGACTAACTTTATCTTCATACATCATTTAATTTCTACATTTTTTTTTTTCAAATAGATATTCAAATATATATTTATTTAATTAAAGGCCTCACAGCTTTGAAATCAGAAGATGTATATGACCTTATGGTGAAGGACTATAACAAGAAATACACAGATTATCTAAAAGTTTTACAAGAAAAGGAACGACAAAATATTAGCAACAAACATAAAGAATATGAGGCTGTAAGTACTTGGATTTGAACCTCAACATTCATTGATATATTTCTGGTACCATGCCATTGTACCACAATGTTGATCACTAGCTTCTAATGATTTAATTATATAATTAGAAAAACACAGCGCTATTGCCTGATGATGACGTGGGACATGTCGAAACATGTTTAAAACATTCATTTACATAATTTTGTGTATTAATCTAATGTTCTATACATTTATCCAGCCAACTGTAGATACAGGAAAAGTCAAGGAGTACACACAACGAGCAGTAAAACAAGCTGCAGAATACAATGCATCGTTAATGCGAGAACGCAGGGAAGAAAGGCAATACTTTCTAGACGTACAGACAATGGTACCCAATGGCACTTATCAAATATTTTAATGCTTAACATTTGTACTATATTTGATAGAAACGTATGAGTATTTTTCTAATTATTATGTTTTCTTTGTTTATATTTTTATTGTTATTATATTGCTATTGCTGTTATTGCTATAATTATTCATTGGCAGATCCAGGAATTTTAAATAGAGAGGGCCCAGGGAGAGACTTTCACATATGGAGGGTCCTGACCACTTCCGCTCCACCAGAGTTTTTAAAACCATTTTTTTAAATTAGGGGAGAGGAAAGTACTTGGGCTGGCTTGGGGCCCCCACCGCCTAGAATTTGCTTCTGTCACTGATGTTGTTGTCGTCGTCGTCGTCGTTAAGATTATTTTATTAATATTATTAATATTTATTTATTATTATTGTTATTTTATTATTATTATTATTATTATTATTATTATTATTATCGTCTTCATCTGAAATTACTTTATCAAACAAAGGTTGTTCAAGTTTCCAAAAACAAAGTCAAGCAAATAAAGAAAGGATCAACCAAAGTGGATGGATATCCTGTCGCCCTGATACCAGGCCAGTTTCAAAACTTTTACCGAAAGTAAGCCCTTTATCTAACCTGTTATAGATTTATATTTTCTGGATGGTAAAGAAAAAGGTTTTTTAAGACTAGGCCTACTGTTTTAATTTGTGCAAAATCAGAATCTTCATCCTATGAAAATTCTATTCTATTAATTTGCAGTACATCACGTAAATGGTTTTGAAAAAAATTGATGTGTTAGAATATTTTAAAGTTTTGAATTGATTGTTCTTTTCCTCTTCAGGACAATGTAGTGATAGTGTCATCTGCTTATGTTGAGAATTTAATCAAGATAACCATTAACCAAAAGAAAAAAATATCATAATATAACTAATATAGTGACAATTACAACTGTTACCATTTCCCATTCTACAAACCCCTCCCTACAAACAGATCCAAAACACACACAATACCGATGCTTAAATCACTCATTCATATAATCAAAGATGTTAAAAATGCTTTTATATTTTAAATTTCATTTTTAAAAATATTTTTCAGATATACACCAGAAGAGCTTAACTACTTCCCATTACAGACTGCACTCTACGGACCAGTAGAATTGCAAGACCAGCGTAGGCTAGGACAACCCGGCTGGGAAGACGAGGAGGAACCAATATCAGATTTCAGTGAACCGGTACGGAGAACAATACCTGTAACAAAATAATTTCTATGGTTTGCCCAAATACTGCTTTCGAATGAACCCCCTTTGAGAAACCAAACCATATTGCAAATTTCTAAATCTTAGTTGTACAGTCCGTTGGCTGCTCCTTATTAGAATAATAATAATATGCCAGTATCATACTGCGCATCATACCATTCATGGACTCAATGCACTTTATCACATTATTCTGGGGAAGGGGAAGGGGGTGTAGCAGGGGAGAGATTATTTGTTGTTTTTATTCGTTTAATGCTAAGTATATTAAATGCAAAGTTTGTACAGAAATATTGAGCAATTTTCTTACATCTAACATTCTCTTGATATCTGTATAAGGGCTCTCCGGATCATGCATCAGCCATTCCAACAACCAACATTCCCCCACCTGCTATATCTATGGATCAGCTAGAAACTTCTCAGAAAGAACAGCAACAAATTCTGCTTTCTTACAAGGTAAAGTTTTTGTCTATGTCTATAATTTAAATGTCTATTAAATTCTGGTATTTGAAGGGAGAAAGTTTTTTTTCTCTAAAAATCACTTTTGTTTTAGTGTTTACAGTCATATGATGAGAGCGTTTTTGAATTTTTAGAAGAGAGAAAAATGATTCTCGTAATGGTATTTAATGAAATATGACTGAGGGCAGTGTTTGTTACTTGGAGATCATTTGTGTTTTTTTTTAGTTTGCATGATTTGCATGTTTAAATCAACTAATATTAAATAAGATATGCTATTACTTTTCCAAATAATATAATAATATAGAATGATATATGAAATGAACATATTTGCATTCATAATAGCATGTGATCACATGAAAGATATACTATCTATGATAACTGTATAAAAAAAAACCTTAAACAATAGAAATGTTATATTTAAATTACCTAAGAGCTTCTAAATTTGAAATTGACAACAATTGTCATTTATCAGATGCGTAATAATAACACATTAATAAACATGATTACATTGCGCATAATATCACACCACTCACTTAGTGTTGCGCTAGCATAACTTGAGTTTGAACCTAGTCTTAATGATTGGGGTCAAGAAGGGAGCATTCACGTCCTGGCCCTGTTCCTACAAATCCTTTCACCATTATACACGAGAATGTCGAGTATTTAGACCTTAATTGACATGGCTCTACAGAGTATGAGCTTGTGAATAGACTCAACAAGAAGAACATTTAAATCTTGGGTGGTGTCTGGCATTTATCATAGACAGTACATGTTTAACCTTTGTATTTATTAGCTCAACATCCAGGCACTCTAATGAGTTTTGATGCTATCTTAACATGCTTATATTTGTGTTTTTGATATGCAAGATGGAGTCAGCAGACAACAGAATGAATGCATTTCAGGTGATAAAGTTTACTTCAGCTGTTTCATCTGATTCTCATGGAATCATACACGTAGAAAATCGAATGATATACTAATAAGCATTTAGTTTTCATAAATATTCATCCATTTCTAATACTCATGAAAAGTCATTGGTTTCGTATCTTAAGAATATTCATGAAGAGTCAGTCATTGCCATTAGTTATGAATATTCATGAGATGTCATCAGCTAACTTTTTCATGAATGAACATAAGTAGTAACCCCTGTCTTTTTCTATGAATATTCAAAAGTCATTGATTTTTATATCTTATGAGTATTCATGGGGACCTTATTTCATAGATGAACATTAGAGGTTATCACGTCACTCTTCTATGAATATTCATGAGTTTGTTACTTGGAGATCATTTGTGTTTTTTTTTTAGTTTGCATGATTTGCATGTTTAAATCAACTAATATTAAATAAGATATTCTATTACTTTTCCAAATAATATAATCATATAGAATGATATATGAAATGAACATATTTGCATTCATAATAGCATGTGATCACATGAAAGATATACTGTCTATGATAACTGTATAAAAAAAACCTTAAACAAATAGAAATGTTATATTTAAATTGCCTAAGAGCTTCTAAATTTGAAATTGACAACAATTGTCATTTATCAGATGCGTATTAATGAACATGATTACATTGCGCATAATATCACACCACTCACTTAGTGTTGCGCTAGCATAACTTGAGTTTGAACCTAGTCTTAATGATTGGGGTCAAGAAGGGAGCATTCACATCCTGGCCCTGTTCCTACAAATCCTTTCACCATTATACACAAGAATGTTGAGTATTTAGACCTTAATTGACATGGCTCTACAGAGTATGAGCTTGTGAATAGACTCAATAAGAAGAACATTTAAATCTTGGGTGGTGTCTGGCATTTATCATAGACAGTACATGTTTAACCTTTGTATTTATTAGCTCAACATCCAGGCACTCTAATGAGTTTTGATGCTATCTTAACATGCTTATATTTGTGTTTTTGATATGCAAGATGGAGTCAGCAGACAACAGAATGAATGCATTTCAGGTGATAAAGTTTACTTCAGCTGTTTCATCTGATTCTCATGGAATCATACACGTAGAAAATCGAATGATATATTAATAAGCATTTAGTTTCCATAAATATTCATCCATTTCTAATACTCATGAAAAGTCATTGATTTCGTATCTTAAGAATATTCATGAAGAGTCAGTCATTGCCATTAGTTATGAATATTCATGAGATGTCATCAGCTAACTTTTTCATGAATGAACATAAGTAGTAACCCCTGTCTTTTTCTATGAATATTCAAAAGTCATTGATTTTTATATCTTATGAGTATTCATGGGGACCTTATTTCATAGATGAACATTAGAGGTTATCACGTCACTCTTCTATGAATATTCATGATAGTCTGATTTTTATTTGTTGATGAATATTCATGAGTATTCATCCATTTAGAATTCATGATGAGTAGAAGGTATCTTAACATTCATGATTCAGGCACTCTGTCACATACATACAGTATTATGTTATCATTTGCCATTCTTGCTTCAGTTCTATGTACTACAGCCTTATATATCTCAGTGTCATATTTATTTGTCCCCATTCAGGTATATTGGAATTCTGTTGCTCTAAACATTCTTACAGAAATAAAATATTAACAAAAACATTGTAATTTAAATACTATTCTGCTGCGTATTATTTAGCATGTGATAATTAAAAATTGCAAAACCTTGTTGCTCTACACATTGTAGTTTTAAGGCCTCCTAACTTCTTTTTAAATAGCTTCTTCACTCTTGATCAATGGAAAACATTTCATTGAACAATGTACAAGCCTTTTTAATTATTTGTGTTAATTTGAATAAAATCACCTTTCCATACAGCCATAGTAAACCAAACAACTGTAGATGTTGCACTTAGTATTTAACACAATTCAGTTGAAAGTGGTTACTTTTTGTGGTGATGGGATACATATTTCTAAAAAGTTCTTACTTAAATTTATTTCAGATGTTCTGTTATGCTTTTTTTATTAAATAATTTTCATTATATTATTTATTTATATTCATATAAGTGTATTTTGAAAAAATAAAAAAAAAACCTATTTTCTCCATTGGAATTTAAACTCCAGAACCTCCAGGTACAAATAGGTTGCTTAATTAACTATGCTATGGGGCCATCATAAGTATACATCCTTGCTTTGCTGTTAAAGGTGTTTATCAACATTTCTTTTAAATTTTCAGACCCATAACCAAGGGATGGAATTTTAATGATTCAAACTACCTTTTCGACCAAGTAATTTTCTGACAAACCAAACACTCCTTCCACTTCCATAAAAAAATGATTAAGTTCACCATTTTTGCTGGAATGCTTTAGCACCTGTGGACTTCACTTACTGATCCCCACTAAGCTTCTTTCCCTTGACCCCCAAATTGTGTGTACATACTCCCAAAACCTTTAACTGTCATTAGTAATCTTCCTTAAAAAATCCTGGTTATAATATTCCATAATATTTTATATCAAACTTGACCACAGTAAATGGATACATTTTGTGAAGGACCAGAATAAACTAATGTACGATTAGTTGTTAATCCATATAATATTATATCTTTTTACCTTTGTAGCCAAAAGAAATTGATGATGCGATTTGTGGAATATGTCTGAAGGACAAATCATGCAACAAGTTTAATCTGCCTGAGGAGCTTATACATTGCGCACAGTGTGATAATAGCGGTGAGTTTGTACCGGTTCATCAGGGGTTCAAATCTTGCTAACATCAGAATTTTTCTCATGGTCGAAAACTCAAACTTCATTTGTACAGCATCATAGAATAAAGAATTTTAGAGCAATATGTATAATCATATCTATATATATATTCTATTTTATATCCATATTGCACTGTTGTAAATGATGTTCTGTATAATATATGAATGCGAAAGTAAAAGAACCAATCAAAATTCTTGTTCAAAACTGTCAGCTTATATATATATATAACATTTCATAAATGTACCTGTTGATAAGTGTTTCTGTTTGCTTGTGTGTTATAACAACTGTTGGAATGGCACCTTATAAATGGAACGATTGATTGACTGGTTGATTGATTGATACCGTGGATACTAATCTTCAGTCTTTAGGACTAACAGGTGTAAATACATGTCAAATTGCATTACACATTAACATATGATAAACTATATTGTCCAAAAAAACAATGGAATTTTTGTTAAGATTGTATGTCTACACTATACAAAATGTCAAAGTCAAATTAATTTATTGGTGAAAACAAAGGTAAAATTGAATTTGCACAGTGAAATATAAAAAATTGATAAATAAATGTAGATAATGTTATGTTCGAAAAAATATGAGTATATTTAAGAATAATGAAATATTATATAAGACAAGAAGGCTAAGAATGTCATTATTATGTTATATTTTCAGGTCATCCCAGCTGTCTAGAGATGAATAATGAACTGGTGGATGTGATAAAGACGTACCCATGGCAGTGTATGGAGTGTAAGACCTGCTTCTGCTGCGGACAGCCTACCGATGAGGTCAGCGTAGTAAACAGCACTTCTACATAATAGGAGCTTTCGATTGCACGATAACGGCAGGACCTAGAACGTGATGACGTCACTAAAGATGTCATCTACGCATGTGAGAACATTGAGTTCTCGTTGTTACATGGATTCTAGGACGCAATTTTGCCCGAATCTATATTGTGTAGAGAATGTAACATGGTCACGGATGAGTGAATTTGTTCTAGTGTTATGTAGTCATGCATATCGAAAGCTTCCTAATAATGGATGACTATATGGTCAATCGGCTCTATGTACTGTATGGCTGTGGAATATGCCTAAATTTATTGCATTGAAATGGAAACTAACAAATTGTTGAAAATAGAATTAAATTTAGAATTTTTCATTTTATAGTTTAAGTTTAAAAGCCTTTTTGAGGTTGAAAATAAGTTGAATTGTTACACATCCCAATATAAAGAGATGTGCTGAGCAGTTGGTAAGGCAGGGGCACCGGTTAGGTCTTTCTGCAGGATGTATCTTTGTAAATGTAAATATGGGGATTAATTGGTTTTGTCAATGCAACATTGATTTATTTTTTTATAATTTAAATTTTAATGTTTGTATGGTGTTTGTCTTGTGACCCTGACACTGACCTAGATTTTATGTTTACATTCTTTTGTGAAATATTATTGAATAAAGAACCATTTAATAAGAAGGGGAAAACTATCTTTGAATACTACCAACATTATTAACATTATTATATTTTTTACAGGATAAAATGATGTTCTGCGATGACTGTGATCGAGGCTACCACACATTCTGCGTTGGCCTTCAGGAGATCCCCACTGGAAAATGGGCGTGTCCTAGCTGTCTTGCAACCCAGGCCAAAGAAAAGGAGCTTGCAGCGGCAGCTGCAGCGGCGGCAGCAGTACCAACCCCTGAACCCGTGATGGCGAGCACTCCGTCTGCAACGCCACCACCTTCCAAGCGGAGAAGATCAGCAAAGAAACGAGACCTTTGAACTTTGCATATTCTAATTAAACTTCTGATCCAAATAAACTATGTATTGTATTACCAAGACAGATGAACTTTTTTATTTACTTTGAACTCTGTTTGGTTATCTGGATATCTTAATTTTGACTCATAAAGCCACATGATTCTGTTACCAAATATGTATTTTGATACATGTTCGAAATCGACCATGGTCATCTATCTTTTTTTTATATAGAGCATGGTACAGTGGTAAGGCTTTCAGCTTGCAATCAAAAGATTGCAAGTTCGAGTCAGTTGGAAGTCACTTTATCTTGTTCTTGGTACTTTATTATCTATGATACATTCAAGAGTATAAACTGGGTACCTGGTAGCAATTGAATAATTTGGAATTAAATGTGTGTGGTGCAAAATTAGCTGCACTTCTCAAGGAGCATGGGAAGTTTGACACTTGTACGATCCTTTATTCAATGACCTGCAAAACAACTGTGAAGTCAGTGGCTGTGTCTGAGCATTGCAGCTAATCACTGAGATGGAAAGCTCAGGATAATTACATTTCAATGTAATTACTAGGTTATTTAAGGACTCATAGTAAATTATTACAACAAACGGGACACATAACTAAATGAACCCTTGAAAACACATTTTTATAATACTTTTATTCCGATTTTATTTATGTGCGAGATGGATCGTAAATAAATATACACTCAAACCATAATTTCCGGATACAGTACTTTGCTTTTTTAACATACATTTTTTCCAGCATATACAGTATACTATAAAATATAGCGATTTGTTTCATAAAGGGCGCGCAAAGCAAATAAGAGATGATTTAGGTCAAAAAAAATATGTACAGTTTTTCGGAAATTGCCAGAAAAAAACTGAATAAGGATGTACTTGTTGGCATGGGATGGACGGTACTAATTCACGCACATCGTAGATCTAAGAAATGTATCGTTTTAACTGAAACTCATCGACATCGGTTTATACTTAGTACTTTAGTAGATAATTGAACCTATTGGCCTATATTTTTTCGACTTGATAGTTCTTTCTTTAGTATATTTATTCGCCAATGTCAATCACAAACGGATGCGTCCATGTGAAACCGTTAATGTATTTTTTTTAGTAGAATGAATGTTTTAAAAAGACTTTTATTTCTAGATTTACTCAACTATAATTTTTCTACTTCAGAAATAATGACATCTATCTATTTTCAGACAGCCCACAGAAAGTCTGCATTGGTAATAAACAGTAACACACTTATTCGTAATCGCAATTTTGGAATATCTCCGATTCTGTTTCCCCAAATGCTCGTATAGTTCCACAATACACACGTCCACTTTTGCTGAATTAGAATTTAATAAAGATAAATATGTAAAACAAGAAAACCATTACTACCCTTCTGGTAAATGATATTTAGTATGGCCTACTAGCATGGTATTACATAATTATTCGTTGTTACATAATAGAAGACTTGTGTACCATTAGGCTAATGATCCGATGAGATGTACGGCCGTGTGATCTCTCGTTACTCGATGCAAATATACCATTAAGTGTGTTTTTAAATGCTCAACATTAAAAGTTGACACGCATCGATAAATAAACATATGCGAAAATATTGAGATATGTAGATCTAGCGAGAGGTTATTAAAGGTTAGTTAAATCTCAGATGGTACAGTCTGCCGAAGTGCTTAATGTGCTGCTGTGGCGTTCTCTAGCCCTAAGCATTGAGTTTTGATTCTTCAAATTCTTTACCTCAGCACAAATAATATTTAGACATCACATCGACGATTACTGTGCAGTCGAATTTTGTTGTGCGGCTGAATTCTTTCTCAAGAAAACCTCAAAATGATTCGATATTTGATCCCGTTTATGTGCTGTTTGGCCCTGTGTCTGCTATTTTGTATGAGAATGCATTTAAGTAATGTTATGGTCATGCTGGTACCAGATAAAAACGATACATCGAATTGGGGTCGATCCAACGGTGGTTTGGATCACGGAAATCAGTCGAAGTGTAACACTGGAACAGTATGTATCACGATTTGTTTATGTTCCTAGTTTTCTTAAATAATATTTAAGAAGGGTTTTCGACCACTGGTTGTTTCATTTTATTTTTCTATCACGCTGACGGCTAATGTTATGTCTTATTTGCTACATGTTGCATTTAGAAAGGTAGGAGACTAAAAATTATATTGCGATATCCGTAAGCTAAGTACTTGTTATGTTAGTTACCATTAGTTAATAATGAAGATGATAATGATAAGTGATGATGATAATGAAGAAGGTGATGGTAATGATGATGACATATTGATTAGAATGATGACGATGCATGATGATGAAAGGATGATGATGGCGATCATGATACTGTAATGATAATGTGTGACGAAGGTTAGGAGATTTAGCAAAATCCCGAACTTAATTTAGATTGCTCTCTTTAGTTTCGGACGTTTGATTGGAACGAGAAAACTCAGCATATCATCCTAGGAGCATTTTATGTTGGCTACGCTGTAATGCCGATACCGGGAGGATGGTTGGCGTGGAAAATCGGTGGTAAGCGTGTTATATGTTTTTCAGTGGTATGGACCTGTATAATGACTGCATTGATTCCATTTTCGGCGGGAATAAGTGTTGGTTTGTTGGTTGCACTACGTGCTTTAGACGGTTTAGGACAGGTTGGTACAGCTTTACTTCGTTTATTTTCATTTAATGTGTATGTATCAAGAATACAAAAACTTTAAAAATCTCAGGCATTATTGTGTTTATTGTTACTGTTATTATAATTATATTATTATCACAATCTTGTTTTTTAACAAGACTGAAATGTGCAGATAAGACGTAGTTTATTTGAGCTATATCTCATGCGCTCACCTTGTCTTCCAGGGAATAGCGGTACCAGGAATATACGTTATCCTAGGGAAATGGGCGCATCCTAACGAGAGAAGTACCATGATATCTATTTCATTATCTGGTAAGTCTATAACAAGATTTGAACAACTAATCAGGTTTCGTTAACATGCCGTTAGGGTGAGACAATACGATTCAATCATAGTGATTATTTATTTAAAAAAAAAACCATATTTATAGAAGGTGATCAGCGTAAGAGTAAAGTAAATTATTTAAGAGTAGTTAAGCCTAGCTTAAGGTAGTTAGTGACGCCCTGGGTACGACATTAAACTCCATCTGGTCGAAGCGTCGGCGACTAAACTGACAACCCTCTCAGATATGTCTTAGTGGCTGCTTAGGGGAGGGTATGGTCACCCAGCAGCAAAAAAAACCCCAATAGCTGAACAAAGGGCGGATGAGCTCCTCGGAGTCAACGGCAAACCATTAATTAGTTTAAGGAATAGGAGTAGTTCAGCATCACTGTTATTTTTGTTATTATGATTATTATTTTTATTTTATTAGGCCCTATATAGTTATTATTTTATTGTTATTTGTATTTTCTCGGTTACACTATATTATTTCAGTGTAAAGCACAGGGGCAATGTGCAATATGCGCTATACAAATATAATATTATTATTATTATTATCCTGGAAGGTCGACTAATATTCAGGTCCCTGTTGAAAAAAATAAACAAAAAATGTGAGTGCTTTAATTAACAAAAAAGTCTCATCAGGGAGCTTAATGAGTGGAGATGTTTTTAGTCGTGAGAAAAAATATCCTGTGCTGTTATCCTGGAAGGTTGACTGATATTCAGGTCCCTGTTGAATAAATGAAAAAATATGAGTGCTTTATTAAATAAGTCTCATCATGGAGATGTAAAAGGTCTAATAGGGAGCTTTAAAAAAATCCTGTGCTGTTATAGAATTTCAACCCAGGACCCTGAGATTGGAAGGTAATCATCGTCCATTAAGCCACATCTACATTAACAATTTATTAAGCTTATATAAATTATGTTCCTGTAAATAAACATCAAACGAATAACAACCATGAAAACGACACACACCCTGGATCTGTAGGAGCTTAGGTGGTCTCCATAAAATCGCTACATTGTTGCGACAGTATTTTCACTGTACTGTGCTCGTTACACTGTGTAGTTGTCCTGTCCCCGAAGCAATTGGAAAGGCTCTCCGATTTAACCAACCGATCAGAGTCTAGTCGTCGAAACAGCGGCTATTGTACGTAGCGATTTTTTGGGAAACCAAACTTTACATGTACTTGTTATCAATTTTAAAGGATTGTGTCTAGGAGTTCTGGTATCAAGTTATGCATCTACCTGGATGTCAACAGCAGTCATATTTGGTGGATGGCAATTTTCCTTTACTGCTTACGGTGAGATAAATTATTAATTATTATTTATCGATACGAAATTAACATTTCATTAAAATTTAAAATATCCTCCCGTTTTACATGGTTTTTGGCAGTTTCTATTTGAAGCACATAAACTCTTTTTACAATCAATCAATATTTAACTTTATTATTATTATTATTAATATTATCATTATAGCCATCATGGGGGCACTTTGGTCTCTTGCGTGGGCAACATTAATATATGAAACTCCCGATAAACATCCGTTTATATCCAGCAAAGAGCGTGAACATATTAATTCGCTTTTAAGCGAGGACGAGCAGAAAAAGGTAAGTTGTTAAGCTCACGAGCCTCTAGTGGGTCTACCGGTATTTGTTCAAATTCAAAAATGTATTCTTGCAATTCTGACGTACAGTACTTCAGCGAATGTTTCAAACGTGAAATATTGACTAGAGGGTAATGGAGGGGTTTAAGAGGGGCACAAGTTTGGGTGAGGGGAGAATTCTCCGGGGAAATAATGTGATATGAAGTGATTTTCAACTACTTGGGTGTATTTTTTAAATCAGTAAACTCCTAGTGGTGCGGCTCGGGATACAGGTGACTTTTTGTGTGGAAAGATCACCTTTAATATGCCATTGTAAGACTATTCAATTTTCAACTGAATTAGGCCTAAGTAAATTATGTTGTTCAAAACGCTGTATAAAATAATAGTCTCCTTAAATGTAATATTTTAAAACTTTGTTTTCGTACTTCTCAGACTCACTCTGTTCCTTGGCTAGACATCCTGACGTCACCACCGGTATTGACTGTTACTCTGTGTATAGTTGCATTTGAGTTTGGTTACTATGCGCTGCTCTCAGAAATGTCACAATATTATACTCTTATTCTAGGGTACCATTTTGCAAAGGTATGTTTATATAAAGAAAGTTCGAGATATTGTTTCCATATTTTGGAAGAAAAAATTAAATGGAAAACAAAGAGAAAGATATAAAATAATAAGTGATCTAAAGAATGGTAGATACGCCAACTGGATCAGTTTGAAATGAATCCGAGAGAAAACATTCATTGTTAGGCCTGCCGCCATACTGATAAAACATGACTGGCCCTGCTGATGACGAATGTATTATTTTTTCAGGCTGATCTCCTGATACTTATACCACATCTAATCCAGTTTATCATCAAGATCACATGTGGATTCCTCGCAGACGTTATTATTTATCGGTCCTATCTCGATGTCCTAAGTACAAGAAAAATGTTTGTTGCAATAAGTGAGTTGAAAAATATACCATGTAAAATATTCTTTACATAATGTTGGTGGTTAAGTATATTACCAAGCAAATATTTACTGTCAACAGATTGTGTCTTCTCTCAACCTAAGGCAGTAAGAAACATAGGTGACACTATTTTGTAAGCGAATTTGTTTAGGCTCACAAGAACTCAAACTCTTGACTGGAGCAAACTTATACTAAATGTCACATTTAAGCTAACTGGCTAAATAAAATTAGAAACCCCCTACATATAACTATTACTGTAGACCTAGGTTGCCTGAAACCACTGGGAAGAAATAATACGATGTACCGGTAGTAGACCCAGAGCTAATTAAAACCAAAACAAAGTTAATATTAATTAGTTAAAAACTGTGTACAGATAAAGGAAAAAGAGGACCTACTGACGTTTCAAGTTTCCTTTATAATAAATGAGACAACTTTGTCTCAGATACTTATAAGAGTAACCTTTCCAATGTTCAGATTTGTGAAAAAGTTTAATAATTTATTCTCGTTAACAGTACATGAAATTGTTATATGATTTGAGTTTCAAAGTAGAATATACTCATAGGACATTTATATTCAGTAAGAAAAGAACACTAAAATCATGTATTTATAATTTTTCTCTCTGTAGCTCTTGGGGTATCATCGTTTTGTTTGGTTTCGCTAAACTATTTTGACAGCAGTGCTACAATTGCCACTGTGCTTGTCTCTGTTGCCTACTCTGTACATGGATTTGATGTTGCTGGTATATTTTCGAATCCGATGGACATCTCAACGCCGTTTTCCGGGATTATTGCCGGCTTAATGATGACAGCATCAAATGCGACTGGATTCATCGGTCCTTTAATTCTGGAAATGTTAACACAAGACGAGGTACCGTATAACTTGCTTTTTAACACTATTAAATTTATTTTCAAAAAGTGAAATGTCATTTTTAACAATCAGGAATTGTGTAAAAAAATTACTTTCCCTTTTTCCACAGAATACTCGTAAACAATGGAATGTATTTTTTCTGCTGATTGCGGGTATTCAAGCATTTGGGTTGGTGGTTTTCCTGGCATATGCACAGGCAGAAGAGCAGGAATGGTCGAAGAATGCAAGAATTCGTGAAGATGAGAGGAAATCGCTTTTTCGTCGTAGAAGTAACTCGGAGGATGTACTAGAGACAGCTAGCAATTACTAGTAATATTAAGTAATATTACTTCATTCTTCAGAGCTGAAGCATACTCTGTGCTACCGGAGTTCCAGTGACGGTGGTCCTGAGGTTGACAACGGCCCCGCGAGCGGGGTCCAAAGGCAGTGTTTTGCTAGGCGTTTAAGGGTTATCCCCAAAGCTACAGCCTTTGATGTATTTAGATGCTTAATTTAAACGATTACTATGGACATTTTGGTCTTTAAAACACTGTACTTCTTTCGTTCTGGTAACTTTTGCCGCCAGACCCATCATTCAGTGCTAGTGAGAGAAGGTTATCATGAAAGAAACACTCGAAAAACTTCACATACCAAACAACGAGACTGATAATCAACGTCTATTTATACCAATATTAATCATACATTTATTATGTATTAATGATATTAATATAATTATTATACTATAAATGTACATTTTAATTCGATTATAAAATTGTGAATCAATATTTACACAACCAAATAAAAAAAAATATTTCTCGGATAAATTATGTACAGTTTAGCTGCAATATTATTGCATCAAATCAGAATTACGAAACTCTAAATATTTAAAATCAGTATTACATAAATATAGGACCTATCTATAAACATGCTTGAAAACTGTAGTATTGAACATCTATTTTCTAATTGTCAGTCATCAGTGTTCAATAATGTGAGATTCCAAATCTACATTGAAGATTGAAAAATAATGCCACATTCGTGTTGGAGCGGATCCATGATTTGTTGGTTTATGATATGTTGCTTGCCCTCCGGTACTAAAATGACCCGAAGGTCAATACCGTAAATGCTCGACTAAGGCGCTTTTAAAATATTATTTGGAGGCTTCGGTGCGGTGCTTATTCGAATGCGGCGCTTATAAAAAAATATTAGCGTGGCGCTTTTCATGCCCGTTCCCATGTTACGTATCTCACGCATTCCCGTAGTACGGTAGGCCTATCATAGGTCCAAAGTCATCGTAAATAAACGTTTATAAAGACATACTTGTGTCTTCATTTGTATTGTTTATTCATTTTAAAACCGTGTACATTGTATTTAAAACCCTGTTTCGTGTTTAATTAAACACAGGGTGATATAACCCTCTCGATTAGGCGCCACGGCGCCTATTCGAGAGCGGCGTTTAGCGAAAAAAATCACTTTTGGTACGGCGCCTAATTCACGAGCATTTACGGTACTAAAACAAAACATCGAGGTTTTTCAAACAACCAAAATAACTTCACTCCCCAGCCTCATAAAATAATTGTTAGTGCATAAATGAACATGTACCGTCACCGTCACTTTTTAGAAAACTCTTGTCAAATATGATTTGAACAAACGGTTTTAATTTATCGAAATCATCGGTATGGTACAAGTGCCAATATGGTTTGAATTTGATCTAATCTGTAATTAACCTCTCGATCAATTATACCCTGTTTGAAAGAAATAGGATAGGCCTAGGTCTAAAACATATAAAATCTACTTATTATAGGCCTAATTGGAGGTAAATATATGATAAATCAAAGAAGACAAACCATTATTGATTTCAGAAAGAACAATAAAAGAAAACAATTGGCAAGAATATTTGAGTATTAAATCATCAATAAAAAGGGAAGCATTATTATCAGTTTGATAAGAAAAATAAGAATATAGCACCGTCTACAATGGACCTATCCGGATTGTCAAACTTAAAACTGACCAATTAGAGAAGGGCCAGGAATACGCGCATGTCCCACGAGCACACGTGTTTACGTACGTTTACGGTGTTGTTCTGTGGAACCATAGCAACAATATATCCAAGGGGCTGCCTTAGCGGAAGGTCCATTGTTTTCTGTAGGCTAACGTTCAGTCGATCTGAATCATAAGCTACAATATATGTACAATGCTATTAACTATTGTAAGCTGTTGTCGGTAATTGTGTAATGCCCTATTATAATGATGAGTAATTCGAATTCTCATACTACAATTGTACTTAGACAATCGTATGAAGTTAACTGACATCTCTGTAAAAATTACTCGCAGTAATGGACCCAGAGGGACGGGCTTAAGGAGCGCTCGACCTGGCAGTGACCAAACTCGCTTATCAAGTGTGTAATTGATAATTATAAAACAAAATATAAGAGAAAAAGTTGGTTAAAACTGTGGAGCGTCCAGGATATATGGAAAGGACCACTCAAAACTCTGGGTCCTCGATTAGAGCTTCGCTAACCTCCCCATCCCACGCCAAATTCCTGGATTTTCCTCTCCTCTATGGCCATGGTTAATCCTTTCATAATCAATTAGACCCACAGCATCCAGCACAAAGTCTACACACCACAACTTATGTCATCATGAACATGAAAAGCGGCTTGGAAATATGTACAATACAAGTAACATGTTAAAATCGATGCATTGTCAAATCTGTCATGGCTAATTACAACAAATATCAAGACTTAATGTCTATTCAATAACGTTATCTTTACCACACAATGTTTTAGTAATAAAAACGACAGGTACCGGTAAAAAAAGATGTTTTGTAAAAAAAATTTTGGCGCTGTTAGTAAGTCTATGAAATTTCAAGGAAAATTTCAGATCATTGCCTCTAGATCAGCAGAGGTTTTACACTATCAAAAGAATGAACTCTTTGAAAATTGCTCTTGACATTCTCTTAGATTATAAATATAAACTGCAGTCATTTTAAGTTTTGCAACGAATAGCCTTTGTAAACTATCTGTATATCAAAACATCCATTGAGTCAAGGTCTACCACAGGTTACTCCCAGAATTCACTATTATACATTTACCGCTGTAGGGTAGACTGAAGCAATGTAGATAAATTGCTTTGCTTAATGGACACAAGCGAAATGCACATCGAAGGATTGAAACCCCGATTTTGACAGTGAGAAATCAAACCATTTCCACTGCGCCAAACCGCTTACTCCATAATAGCGCAAGCAGCTATAAAAACTTGTCTTATTCTTCATAACGATGTACATCTTAACTCTTCGCCAGCCCTGTTGTATTTAACATATTGTTTTGGGGAACTGACGACGCCATTACTGATCTCCGAGGACGTTTGCCAGCCACTTTGACTATTTATGTGTAACTGTGGTAATACATCCTTCGGCTGGTTCGCTTTGGATTGCACAAATTCAGGATAGGACTTGGCAAACGAATGATCAAAATCCTCTTCTGGAGAGAAATATGAGTACCTTCCTTCCCTCCCGGTCGGACTTAATTGACTAGGACTCAATTTACTAGGACTATATGTGGCTACGTGTGCTTTCAAATGCTTCGGATCTAATGTTAAGAACTGATCCACTGGAACATGTTGGTGGTTTTCTACGCCCGATTGTCTGTAAGGCGCGACAGCTAAGGTTTGTTTTGGAGACGGACTACGACGAGTGAGTTTATCAAAAAAACCACTCCGTGGTCTGTCAACGTCATCAAAATCTTCATATGCGTCGAGTGAATCACCAAGAACTGAATCATAGTCACTCAATTCAGAATCACGATATTTAAGAATTCCTGGAGGGTTTTCAGGATCGAAATCTTTGGATGCTGTCGGAGAATTACTTATTGACGACGGGTTCCGTTTGAGTTGGATAACAGTCTCTCGTGTGTAGCCCATTGACCACTTACTGTCCTCGCTATCTCTGATTCTTTTGGGAAGGTTACGACGTGATTTTTTCCTTTTCTTCGGGACGGTTTGTTCAGCATGACCGTCTATTTCGTCTTGCGCATCGCCATTCGACTGTAGCTGCGTCTCTACCATATGATTGTTAGACTGCAACTGGGTCCCTATCTGGTGTCCATTAGACTGCAAATGCGTCCTTACCTGGTGTCCGTTAGAGTACAACTGCGTCCCTACTTGGTGTCCGTTATGCTGTAACTGCGTGCCTACCTGGTGTCCGTTATGCTGTAACTGCGTGCCTACCTGGTGTCCGTTATGCTGTAACTGCGTCACTACCTGGTGTCCGTTATGCTGTAACTGCGTCCCTACCTGCTGTCCGTTATGCTGTAACTGCGTCCCTACCTGGTGTCCGGTAGACTGTAACTGCGCCGTTACTTGGTTCTGGTTAAGTTGGAACTGCCTCAAATTTTCTCTGTGTTGTGCATTTATCTGTCTGTTCTGATCTTCCAATTTATGTTGTTCTTTTAGCTGGTAATAACGGAGTTGGGCTTCCATAGTGACAGCTGACTGATTCATGCTTTTTGCGTTTTGATTGTCTGCATGCCGCCACTTTTCGCCCATTTTTGGCGACTCGTCCAACTCCAAGATTATTTGCGGGTCTGCTAAATCCTCGAAGTGACGCCTTTTGTCGTACATCTTAGGCGAATCGTCCAAGCCAATAATCTCCATATTGTCTGCTGAGTGTTGATTATACCAGTTATGATATCGTCCATTCTGCGTAGGAGCTTGTCCATTTTGCATTATCGGCTCTGCTCGAGCCACTGGTTTTCGGTAGCCATCTTCGAAGCCAGGATTTGCTAATCCAACGTCTGTGAACACTGCACTTTCTCTGGTGTTCAACGGTTCACGGTCATCACGTCCTAATTTATCAAAAACAATAAAGAAGAAGTTATTAATGGCCCATAAATTCGATAATCTAATTATCTAGCCTATCACAGAACCGATAGGCCTAATGAATGGAAGAATGCGCGTAATCATTCTGTCCATGGACGTACGCGTTGTGTAATAATATAGTTACTTTGTATGCATTGGTTTTCGACATAGGTATGTGCACTAGGAACTACGAGATGTCTTGATATGCAATACTCTATTTACTGGTCAGGTCATCAGAAATTTACCACTCGTTTTATGATAAAGACAAAACCATTATTTTTAAAGATAACACAAATTACTCTTATTCAGTTATCACAATCAATAGTAACGACCTGATAAAGACTTCTTTTAAATATGGTAAAAAACTAGTAACATTATTTGCCCAGTTCGGAAATTATCATATATTAGCGAACAACGCGATGTGTCAGAGAGATATCAGTATCGTTTACAGTTTCAACAAGTAGATGTTATGACAGACGTGGACAATTGTCTGTTCACTTTAAACGTTCAATATTATCATCATTATAGTTATCATTATTACAATCATATCATTATTACAGTATCATTGTCATTATCGTTATAAAACACTGAAAACGTAGTACTTTAAATGTAGGAGAATATTTAATGAGAATAATAATATTTATCATTATCATAAGTTAGTTAAGTTAGCTGTTTCTTTTTTATTTTAACCTGTCAGTGGCGGTTGTTATCGCTGTTGGTTAATACGAAATAAAATAAAATAAATAAATAAAATAAAATAAGTACTAGTCTTATCGTTAATATCGTTATAGGAGGCATTAAACACTTACGTTTTGAAGTGCGTAAGCTAGTTCTTTGAAATGATCCACGATTAGGCGATTCACGATTCATTGAGCCCCGATTTAACGACCGTCGTTGCATCGACCGCCGTTCCATTACCCTCGCGTCAAGTTTCATCTTGACATATCTTAGGAAAAACGCCAATAGGCCGATGAGTACACACGCGATCAAACAACCAATAACGATTCCAACTATCGCTCCAACCCTAAAAGAAACAAAACAAAAATAATTACTTTAAACGATGTTAGGATATTTTTTCATTAAAGTTATTTATAATCAAGCGAATATAGCCACCACATTATTATTGTTGGCCTTATAAAAAAAAACATTAAGGACGTATACCTCAGCCAGAGACTGAAATTCGAATCATTATGCATATAAATAAATTAAATTAGATTAAGGACAATAAATCTACTCTTAAAGGACAAACCGTTACTTCTATGACATTTGACAATGTAGAGTGCTGTTATATAGGCCTACCATCGGTTCAATAAATCAGTAATAGAATTGTCTACAATGCAGTAATATTGTACAGTTTGCAATCATTACTCCACTATACTCATCACACGATGAACTCTTTGACTATGGAGGCGCCCTTTATAGTTTATTGAAATAAGAAGGCGCAGGTGGATACGCATAATGATGTTTACATGTAGCACCGTTGCCATTATGCTTCCCATACATATAAAAAGCTATGTCAATGTGCCTTATGAAACTGTAGATCTATTGTCAACAATCGTATCGTCAAGAGCCCATAAATATTGTAAGGACAGCTGTTGTTCTGTTGTACCCGTATGCGTTGCGCACATGCGCACAGTAATATTGACGCCTAACCTGTTCACCTCAATTCATATGGACATTTATGTTTAAGAAGCAGGGGACGGATGTAGGTTGAATTAAATCTCGATCTGGGTTAATCACAAGCTTTTTCGAAGACCGAATCTTACAACAGGACGACATTTCCGTTGGAAAATATTAACATTGTTATTATTACAGAGGGAGTACTAGTATTAGCAGTAGTATGTTACTAATAAATTTTGTTGCTTGGCGCTCTAACTGAATATTATAATTTTTATTATATGCATAAATATCATTATCACCATCATTATCACAATCATCATTATATATAATATATTATTTAATTATTTAATAATTAATATTTTAATTATTAGTATTATCATATACAACAACAATAATAATAATAATATCATTAATACTAATGATTAAAACTATAATAATTATAATGATAAAATATTGAAATAACGATAGTTTTTGTAAACTTATTAAGTTGTTATTACAGAAAACGTCATGTAGATATAATAGGGAGTTTTCTCAAGCTTACCAAAACGAATACGGATACGTCATCAATTTTTTTTTATAAAACCCTTCCCCTACAGTAGCATATCTCTCACAACGTAGGCGATTCGTGCCTTTTGCATGAATCATGGATCATATTCAGCTCGCACAGCGTATTGTCAACAATGTTTTATGCACGAATGCCGCCGATGATAATGACGTATTCGTTATCGTTTTCGTGAGTTTGTAAAATCTCCCTAATAACACAAGATGTCTTACGAAAGCCCGTCATCTACGCTCGTTATTCCATAACGATCTTGATACGAACAGCATCGCTCCAAGTCAGGATCGCCACAGCAGTAATCCAAACTGGAATCGTCTGGAGGAGGGCAATAGATATTATCCCCTTGATTGTTGCACACATCACCACTAACTACAATATAAAATAAAAACTCATAATTCCATGAATAGTTATCATTGTTCCTTTAATATTTGAGCACTGTTTCTACAATTATTTATTTAATATATACCACAGTGCATTACATACATACACACATACATACATATTATGTGTGTGTATGTATATATATATATATATATTATATATATATATATATATATATACATATAGGCCTATATATATATTTATATATAAGGAAAAACGAAATTATGGAACGTATCGCAAATATTATATATAGGCCTATATGTATTATATATATATATATATAATAACAACAGAGCTCAAGTTCCTTTATTTCAGTATTATATATATAAACTACACTCGCCACTTACACATTAAAATAATACTTCATAAACGCCTAAGTTTTTATATGAGGCTTGGGGTGGAACTGTTTTTTAGCCGTACGAAAAACCATGCAGCGAAAGGATTTGAACCCGAGAAACTGGGATTGGAAAGCAAGCATCTTGACCACAAACTACAACTCCAGTTTTGGTTTTTTTCTCACGGGCTACAAAACGATATAATAGCATCTTTACTCGTTAAAAATGGCGTGACCCTGCAGTGGTTTATTCTTCAGTAGTTTCCCCATTGTCATTATTCAATATTATTCAATAGCTCCTTAGCAGGTACTATTTTATTTGTACGCTTCAAGGGTAATTTAACCCCCGGTAACCCTAACAATACTTGAGGCTTTGAAAAGATATACAATATGCCTACTGTCATAGATCTAGGCAATATCAGATTCAAGCAACATTGCAGAATGTTTACCGGTGATTTCTATTGTATTGGAAAACTTGCATTGAGTCGAGTTTCGCTCATTCGATAAAAAAAATGATGTGAAAATATGAAGTTAAAAAAAAGTTGTGCTATCAGAGTTATAGAAAATAAATGAGACACAATTAAAAAAATGATGCAGCCAATGTGAACTTCTCTGTCACAATTTTCTGGGGTGACATGGGTGGAGTTAGGGGGAACCATTACTTGACCTTTCCAGAATGTCAATCAAACGTATTAACAACTGACCACCAATCAGAACCGACCCATAATTAGGCCTACGCGTTTGTCCCACCCTAAACAGCATTTCGATTCGACCGAATATTCAGCATTGCCGAAAACCGTCGGCGATAGCGTGTAGTGATTGTATGAAAGCAAGCTTTACTTACGTTTTGCCAGTGAGACCTTAGCAACAATGCAACAATATCCAAGGGGCCGCGCATAGCAAATAAATGTTTCATTACAATGAAACTGTTCGGAAACGTCATGAACACAGCTTGACCCGCGAACCCAACCCGGACACGAATTATTATTCAAAATAATTAGGCCTACAATACGATATCTGAAGATCATATGATCTTTAAAAATTAAAAAAAACATTCCTTTAGAATGTGTCGTTTGCTATTTCAAGTAGTCCACGAGTAGGATACTTGTCGCCTATTTACATTCGGTTTAGAGAGACGTTTTGTTTGAATTGTCATGGGCGCAGTACGCCAGTCATCGACGTTAAGTTAAAAATATATATATATAACAGCAACACAGTAGGCCTGTTGTGTAATAGGCCTTGTCTTTTTCTGTAAATTTTGTTTTGTTCTTCGGTATTCATGATGTTTTTTTTTGTTTTTTTTTAAATATAAATCAAATCAAAGGGTATATGAGGCCATGTATTGTGCGCTATACGCCAACAAATCCCTAAACATCAGACCTAGACCTCTATCAATCATAACGCGAATTAGGCTACACATGCTACATGCTTACTACGGTACTTTTGAAAGGCTTACAAACTGCGTTCATTTAATACCTGAATGGGAGACCGTCTGTGATCAAGTTCCCGGGACTTGCCGAAATCATCGTCTCGGACAAGGGCTGTGTACTTTAAGTTTTAAGAGCCCAAGAACACCATTCGAGAACAGAAAGTGATTACTGTTGTTCTGTCTTTCTTAGCCTTTGTATTGGAGGTGTTCTTGTGCGGCTAAGGGAAACTGCACCACGACATGATGGGACCCTTTGGGGAGTAACAGGTTGTAAGGATGACCGCCTGAACCGGCCAATCCAAAACCGACTCCCTCGCACTAAATGCCCTCGCTTCGTGATAGCATGTATTAGCACGTCACATTGACACGTCAAAAGGGTTAAACCATCCCCCCCCCCTCCTCAGTAGCGGCTGAAAATTTCAATACAAGTGTAATATAATTTAGATAAAATATTAAAAGGGATAATCTGTTCGCTCCCACTCCCTGAAAAAAAAACACCCCGCCCCTTGATATTTATATTGATCCGAATAAATATGATTTTTTTCTTTGTTTTTTTTTATAATATCACGTCAAAATTACGAAAAGTGGCAGAAGTGTATACGATATATAGAATTGCAAACATTCTGTTTGCTTATTCAAGCATTCTTTTAAGCGTGTACCGATTTGTTTATTCTATGATTATGATAGCTTATAAATACTTTGTGCAATTGGACTTTGTTCAGTGCTGCTTCATTTCTGCAGAATCAGACCAAAAGAACAGATTCAATTATCTAGTTTGTGACAAAGCTGACTGTTGTAGATTATTCTATGCTGTGACGAAAAATTTGTAAAGCATAAAATGCATAAGGATATACATATAACAATGGTAAAATTAGATCGTTGGAACAATGAAAATGAACAGTCAGGCCCGTAGCGTGACTAATTTGTGGAGCATTGTAATTGGTCACTCAATTTAGTTCATATTTAAATTAGGCTATGTGGCATACATAAATACTAAAGATTTTTATTGGGCGCAGAAATAGGGAATTGAAGACAAAAATAAACAAATAGTCACACTTTCTTGATTTTGATGAATGTATGTGGCAGGGTCTAAATAATTCACAATATTTAACAGGCACATAACAAGTCTCGTACGTTTATAGGGCAAACAAGGTCGTGATATATGGCCTAGTAGAATTTAAAGGGCCCGGAACAAAATAAAAAAGAACAAAATGTAGTGATTCTTATGACAAGCCATTGAGTAAAATTAGACCTATTAGATATTCGCGGTAAGTTTTAAGTCCGATTCCCATGACCAATGGGGATAGAATATACAACCATAATAAGCCTAGAAACATGGTCATTTGCCTATTATTAAGAAATACATTATAATTAGCTTTTAACCACTGCGTGGATACGAGTCCATAATAGAGTGCCGATATACGGATCCAACTTCAATAAAAACGAGAAACCATTGTATCGTTCTTAACGTGGCATTGTTGTAGTATTGTGAATGTTAAACCCTGTAATAGGACTGACCCTTATATTGAATTATTTTAAAAATGATAGCATTAGGGAGATCAGAAATCAGTATGCGTCAACATAATTATGTCAACAGATAAAAAAAGAAGAGATATCATGTACGTGGTAGGCTACATTTGGTTGTTTTCAATTTTCAAACCCAAAGAGGAAGGATTCGTTAAAATATTACAGTATAATTCTCAAGAGAGATCTGAAATGCAGAGTTGAAATCGCAACGAAGGTGTAGGGTTGTACATTTTCCGTATATGATATGATTTGGCTATGAAAAAAGCCAGCCATCACAATTAATATATACTAGGCCTATGTAGAAATTAACCTGATTTGTACAACCAACGAGATATGTAACCATTTACATTGGGGTTTATGCGATTATATAACGGTTTGCGTTTCGGATAAGATCCGTCATCCCATTGGAAGTGTCCGGAGCGTGCGCCCCCCTGGTCGTCGTAGAAAGGAGAGCGTTTCATTGATGATATAGGCATCGTTAGTATTAAGATAATCAATTAAACTTACCTGAAAATAACAGGCAGGGAAAATAGAAGAGGTAGAATATAGCGACTACTCCAGCCATGTTGTTTGCAGCAATTTCTATCGTCGCCTATTGTTGTATGACCTCTTACCTCCGTGGAAGCGACAAGCAACCGTGAAATTATATGCAAGAGAAAGCTATAGTCAATACTCGCTCTTTACGGGATAACAATACGTTATTACAATTCAAGCGTCCGGATGGACAGAGTACGCTCTGAATAAAACTGAGGTTGTTTTGCACTACAGTACCTAATACGTACTGACTGAGTGTGGAGCGCGTCTGTCAGTAACGATGGGTGTAGTAGGTATAACGGTCGCAAGACATTCAGTTTGTTGCGGAACTGTCGACTTGTCTTCAACGATCATAACATCGTTCTTAAAAACATAACTTCTCAGCATGAATACAATATCATATAACAGAAAGCCGGCTATAATTGGACTGCTCGGTTAGTCCTACTGTGCAGTATAATATATGCGCTAGAGTTGCTGTACCATCGCAATTATTGCATAATACTATGGACTGTGATTGATATAAAACGGCGTAATGGAAATCATATCACACAATTTTCTTTAGAAAAATGTAATTCATTTTATTTAAAACTAATGATTTAGAAATAGAATATTATATGAAAATTAGTTATATATAAAGCACATATTGTTATTATTATTATTTCTTATTTATTTATTATAATTGTTTTTATTATTATTACTACTAATACCTGTATTACACTTATTATTTTTATATTTAATATTTATTATTATTATTATTATTCTATTTTTATTAATATTTTATTATTATTATTATTATTATTATTATTATTATTATTATTATTATTATTATTATTATTATGTGCTTTAGATATTGCATAATACTATGGACTGTGATTGATATAAAACGGCGTAATGGAAATCATATCACAAAATTTTCTTTAGAAAAATGTAATTCATTTTATTTTTAAAACTAATGATTGAAATAGAATATTATATGAAAATTAGTTATATATAAAGCACATATTGTTATTATTATTATTTCTTATTTATTTATTATAATTGTTTTTATTATTATTACTACTAATACCTGTATTACACTTATTATTTTTATATTTAATATTTATTATTATTATTATTCTATTATTATTATTAATATTTTATTATTATTATTATTATTATTATTATTATTATTATTATTATTATTATTATTATTATTATGTGCTTTAGATATTTATATTTTCATATCGCGTTGCATTGTTACAATACATAATCTATTAAAAACGCCCTCTTGTGCTGGTTAGCTGTAGTGCAAAGATCTTATAAACACAAGATAGCGTTCTCCGCGATTTACGCGTGCAAATTCTGTAATAAGGCATGAATGGCGCCCTCTTGCTAAATTGGAAACTTTTGACCTTTGACCGCTATGACCATACCGTACTGTGAACAGCAGAACAGGAACCATCTCAAATCCATGGCAACAGATAGGACGCCCTCTTCCAAAACTGATTACTTTTTCTCTTTGGTA